TTTTTTTTTTATCATACATCACAAGTGTTAGTTTTACTTTTTTTATTGTTTTAGTGCTATATATTATAATTTAAATATTTTATTCTTATTGTTTTACAATAATTTTATCAATGTGTATTTGTAACAAAATAAGTTAAATTATGATTAGCATAAATTCAATGCAAAATAAGTGTTGGTTATTGATCTAATCATTGACGTGTTCATCTTGATTATTACCTTATGATCTAAATATACAAAGAAAAATAAACATTTTAAAGTGTATAGTAAAAACTTATTTTGATATATATATATATATATATATATATATATTTATACTTTTATTTTTCACTTTTAGATGGACATTTACTATCAGAGTTTGTATACAAAATAAAAAATAGATGATTTAGTGTTTGAACCGGACATCTAAATTTGGTTTCATTAATGGGTAAGAAATAGACTAATATTGCAGAATGATATTGTGAAAGGAAAAAAATTGATAATAGAAAGAGTAAGGGTGTCTCAACCATAATGGAGAGAAAGAGCGACAGTATGATTTTGACTATGGAGACTGAATAAGACAATATATATTTATCATTCAATTATTTAATGGATTGTTTGTTATATATGAGGCATTTTATATTGGTTTTGGTCCAATGATTGAATAATTTGAGCCTAAAGTACATAGTTTGTTTATTTTATTTTATTTTTAGTTGATTTCATTTGTTTCATTTAGACTTAAATTTGAGGTCATCTAAAAGTTTGTGATTAAAGTGACTGCCTATATTGTAATCTCTTTATTGATCCACAAGTATGCAATTCTAAATTTTATAAATAAAATTAGCATAATGTGTTAACTATTGTTAACTTTTTATTATTATAAACACATGTTTTTTCTTAAAATAATTACAAGAATATATTATCGCTAATAGATAAAGTTCAATACTACTTACAATAGTGCATCGACTAATTTTGTTATCATATATCATAAATGTTAGTTTTATAAAAATAATTTTTACTCTTTTATAATTTATATAATATTATTTAGATGTCCTTTATTATCATTTTACGAAAATTCTGTCAATGTCATTTCTAAAAAATTATATTAAATTACATTCCGCATGAATTACGTGCAAAAAATAAGTAATTTGTTATTGACATGAACGTTAACGATTATTGTGAATATTTGTAACTTTACAAAATGTGATCCATCTTGCACGTCATTCTGATCACCACCGAACTTATTTTGCAAATAAATGAAATTTGAATTTATTTTGCCAATTAAAAAAAGTCCAAGACATGTGGACCTAATTTCAAATTAAATGCATGCAATTCAAAATAGAGTCATTTTTATATTTTTTTTAGTATTTAATTTATATATTTTAATTTTAACTGGCTCATATGTGTATATGTTTATTTCAATTATTCTATATCATTTTATCTATATAATAGTAATAATGTGTTCAATTATTCACATATGTGGAAAGTTATGTTATTATCAAAACATATGTAGAAAAAATGTTTCAAGAAGTGTCATTAATGTGGCAAAATAAAAAAGTAGGATGAAAATTTTATTTATTACATTTTAAAATGTTTCTCTAAATATAATATTATTATTGGATGAATTGTATTCATTGTTATCATTATCATCATAAATAATAATTATCACACAACACAGATCGTGATTATAGAAAAACAACATATAACTGATTGTGATTATAATACCATATGTATTTTTCATAAATATTTCAAATTAAACAAATTGAACTTAAAAAATACTTGTGATATTCAAAGAACTCCAAAAAGTCACACTTCAAGAAAGCAACACAAACTGGTGTGAATACTAGACTTGATAAGAGTGTATACTGTAATAGCCAACCCTGCAAGGTAGCTCCATTTTCTCCATTTCCCCCTTGACGAGATTGTAGACCAAAATCGTATTCGCAACCAAATCAGCACAAAGTACCAACACCTCCAAGTACTTAACCCACCCAACTGGAATTATAGTCACATCTTTACTTGTAGATTTAAATTGGCTCCTGTGTTCCTTCAATGAAAAATCCCCCGCCATTCTCCATGCAAACGTGCGAGGATGCATCTCCCAAACTTCCCAATAAAGCTCCCCACACTCACGCAATAAAGATAAATACTTCCCAGTCGACAAGTAAGTATTCTTAAATTTCCCACTCGGGCCAATAGAGTAACCGGGCCCAGGGTCGTCATGCAAGACCCAGCGCATAAACCCAATAGAGTAACCGGGCCCAGGGCTCTCCGTGAATTCCTCTGTCTCCAGATTCATAGTCAATAACCTGTCGTCAGTCAATAACCTGTCGTCATGCAAGACCCAATGCATAAACCCATCAGTAATCAAAACGGGTTTATACTTAAAAACCCTAGGCTCGGCCTGCACGACTCTCCACGACTCATCATCATCATCTTCTCCTTCTCCAATGGTTAACACGTGAAACTCGTCCACATTTACGCCTGTACGTGGATCAGCAGGAATGTAGACCACCACTTTCAAATCCATGGAGTCCCGAGCACATGATACTCCCCATGAATACATAGGTGTCTCTGAACTAGTGACGAGTGAACGGAGATTTAGAATTACCCCTGACGAGTGATGAGAGAGGATGAGCTCAGTAAATTTCCCTCCTTCTGCAAACGCTAAACAGAGGTCCGAACAATCAGTCACAGCCACGCTCGTGTTTTGTTGCCTCGACTTGGTTATCTCGAACCGGCCGTCTCGGGTTCCCATGGAGAACACGGCTTGGTATTTGGTGAAGAGAAGGGCATAAGTGTTGTGGCTATGGGTCACATTGTACCACCTGCGGCAAACGAGCCTTGCCTTGTATATATCGTGGGCCGGGAGACGGTCAAAAATGTTGGACAACAAGTCATCTGATAGAGCCCCAGTGATATTTTTTTCATCACTCATCTGCACATTTAGGTTAAGGAGAACTTCAGCAACATAAGATAAGATTTTGGTAAAAAAAAAAAAATTGTATCTGTCCACAAAGAAATTCTAACTCCTATAATCAATTGGTCACTTTCAAAGGTTGAAATTAACTCACGACACAAAACTAGATGACAATACGGAATAGTAATCTTTGAACAACTTCAGTAACATAAATGAGATTTTGGTAAAACTCTTTTTCTGTGTGTGTTACACAAGAAATTCCAATCCCTATTCTCGATTGGTCACTTTCAGAGGTTGAATTTTGAATTTAACTCACGATACAAAAGTAGTTGACAATATGGAATATTAATCTTTGAGCAACTTCAGTAACATAAATGAGAGATTTTGGTAAAACTCTTTTTCTGTATCTGTCCACAAGAAATTCTAATCCCTCTTCTCAATTGGTCACTTTCAAAGGTTGAATTTAACTCGCGACACAGAACCAAATGACAATATGGAATCCTAATCTGTGACCTAATTACTGCGTATATGCTAAAAAGAGTAAACATTACCCAGCCAGCAAAATCAACATGGGGCAATTCAAAATTAAGCTGCTCTTAACAGAGATTAGCTGGTAATATATGAGGGAAATACACCTAATAACCAGTTTGATTACTATTTAATTCGAATAGATGTACAAAACCTGTTCTTCGCTGAAATCTGATCACAGGATTACCTGTTTCTGCTTCTTCTCAGGTGGAGACCGCTGGTGGCGTCGGCGGTGGCGGTCGCGGTCGCGGTCCCGGTCGGGGTCGCGGTCGCGGTCGCGGTCGCGGTCGCGGTCGCTGTCGCGGTGGCGGTGGCGGTGGCGGTGGCGGCTGGGGCCTGGTGGATGCGTCGGGGACATCAGATGTTCCGTCTTAATTAGGTCGTGCTGCCAATTTTTCTCAGATTCGGACATTAGGAACGACAAATATATGGATGGAACTGTGCATTATAAAATCGAATAGACGTAGGTATCCTAAATAGAACGGTTGACCCATGACCCGACCCATCTAGGTCAGGCCTTGTCCGGATGGGCCGACTAGACATGGCCAAAGGGTCGCCCGGCCCGCCAACCCGGCACGGACCCGGTCCAGTCAAACTCGTTGACCACGGATCCGGGACCGGTTCGGATTTCAGACGGACCGTGTAAAGGTCATTCATTTCTTGACTCGGCCCGAAAGGTCAGGGTCGGGTCGGGTCGATGACCCTTCTTTTCAATTTTTTTTTATACTTTTTCTTTAAAAAAGCACGGACCCCGCTCGGACCCGACACGAGTATAGGTCCGTGCCGGTTCAGAGTCAGTGTTTTCGAGCCCAGCGACCCGGCGGGACTCGGCCCGTTTGGTCATGTCTTGGGCCGACCATCAGCCATTGGCCCATTGTTGTGTTCGATTGTTAGCCGAAGGACATATATATGGTTGTTTGATAACTTATTCCGGATACCGGCCATTGGTACGGTACAATTACACACAAAATACCGGATTTACGGTTATACCGGTTTGTACAGGGGTCATACCGTAAATACCGGTCTAAAATACAGGTCAATAATAAAAAAAATAATAAAATAATAAAATTTATTAATTTAAAAATATAAAATTTAAATTGGTAGTTAAAATATTTTATTTTTATCTCATTGATAAGTTGAAATTAATGATTATGGTCATTTATTCTTTTACTTTTTTGCATTTGGTATTATATATTTTTATGTATATTTATATATGTCATTATAATTGGTAGTCCGGTAATGTCACCGATATTACCGGTCCGATCGGTAATACCGCGTACCGGTGGCTAGACCGGTATGACCACCGGTATGGTATTTAAAACACTGCATAGAAGACAAAATTTAAAAATAATAATAAAGTTCTCTTTCCTCACATTCCGTTTCTAATGAGACCGTTCGGACTCACAAATGGTTTTGCGCGACTTTGCTTTTTGGGCCCGTTCGGACTTGTCCAAGCTCGAAATTGATTTCCGCTTCTTCCTATATGTCGCCAACAAACCCATCTACACAACCACGATTGCCCGGTCAGTTTTTGGGCTCAATCTATTCCTCACGGGCTAAATAATTAAAAAATCACTCATTATATAAATAGATGGTCCACGAAGTATTTGTTAATAGGTGATTTGTTAATTATTTAGTTCTGTGAGTAATAGATTTAACCCGAAAATTGACCGGGCAATCATGGTTGTGTAGACGGGTTCGTTGGTGACATGTAGGAAGATACGAAACTCTATTTCAAGCTTAGACGGGTCCGAACGGGCATTGTTGTCGTTTGCTGTCACAGCGTCTTCTTCGTCCACCAATGTTGGCAGCTGATGCCTCGCCCTGTGTGACTGTGTACTCTGGGATGGGACGGAGTCCTCTTCGGATAGAACTTGACTGAACGACGCCTCTTGTATGACCTCTTGGCCTCCAACAGTCAGAGAACTATAGGCAATGTTGTAGGACTGTTGGTCAGATAACTATAAACAATGTAGTGGGACTGTTGGAATGAGGCCTGCGCCTGTCCAGGGCTTGACTCTGAAAATAAAATTCAAAGTAATTAGTATGAAACACCAAAAAAAAAAAAAAAAAAAATCACAAATTATGAACACTTACATCTCACTTCTCCCGCTCGGTAACTGTCTGATAGTCGCCGTTCTGTTGGACCACCGTGTATTTGGTAGGGTCACTGATGAGTCTCACAGTCCTAGTATAAAACTAGACATGGCCAGTCAACGGGTCCGGACCAGGCCCGGGACCGAACTGGACGAAAGCGCAGTCCGGAACCGGTTCTCAGCCCGGTCCCGCCGGTTCCTAGACACGCCGGTTTTTCGCCGGTTCGTTGCGGTTCGCGGGTCTTTATTTTTTTAAATAAAAAATATGATGAGATATATAGTGTTAATAACGAGGACACGTCCAAGTATTGCACAAACGTGTTTCTAACATTCTAGAACCCGTAAACCCGCTCAGGTCCCAGAATCCTTGTTTTCGGAAAGCCACCGAGGAGGAGGTGAATGAGAGGGCATCATCTTGGGACCAGAGTACCAGACGATCATCGGATTACCGTCGAGTCCCAAGATGCCCCCCCCCCTCCCTCATTCACCTCCTCATCGTAGGACTTGCGAAATTCATGTAGTTCAACAATATCTTGATTTTCATCAACGTCATCATGCAATCCGACTCCAATACACAGTCTCGAGTAATATATACGTTCTTTTTGTTAGTGGCCTCAAGCATGATACGTAACGGAAGCTGTCCAAGTTATCATCGTTAGCGTACAAGATGTTGATACCATCATCCCACAATTCAAGAAGAGTACAAACCTTTTCAGACAGCACTAGTACTGTTGGATAGTGGTATCAAACTAATGTTAAATGTTGATGACTCAACTGCAACTTTATCGTTACATTATTTTGCATTCCTCTCCTCGACGTTGAGTAAGAATTCAAAAGATAACTAAGTATGTATAAACGTTCTATTGTTTGTGCTATAGCAGGCAAAAATTTAAAACTGAAAGCATAATACATAATAAAGAATATTAACGTGACATCACAATTCCCTTTTGTTGTTAATGTTTTTGTGTTAATGTTTGAACGTTAGAAGATGAACTCAAAACATCAACTTCATTTAGGACAATGATATCAGGTCAATATTCTCCATTACATATTATGCTTTCAATGCTAGATTACGCCTGCAATAACACAAACAACAGAACGCTTATACAGACTTAATTAGTTATCTTTTGAATACCTACTCAATGTCGAGAAAAGTGATGCAAAATAATGTTATGGTAAACCTGCAGTTGAGTCATCAACATTTGACATTAGTTTGATATCATTATTAAACAGTACCAGTGATGCGTGAAAAGGTATGTACCCTTATGGAACTGTGGGATAATAGTATCAACATCTTGTACACCAAAGATGGGAACTTGGACAGCATCTATTAAGTAACATGCTTGAGGCTACTAACAAAAAGAACGAATATATTACTCGAGACTGTGTATTGGAGTCGGATTGCATAATGACGTTGATGAAACTCAAGATACTGTTGAATTAACATATCTGGAGTACAACTTTGTTAACAAATGTGGACTTGAGCTTAATTGACATTTAATAAGTATCCTTTTGTGTATCATATGTCAATTAAGGTGCCTACGTACCCCTTATATTGGGAATCAAAGTCCACGTAGTTCTTTTAAGTTTGAATATTAGGCATTCATTTTCGAAGGTCGTGATTCATTGTGGATTTTCGTTCTAAGAAATTCGAAAAGTTTACCAATTACAGTTGAAAGCAATAACATCAATTACACCGATTATGCCACGCACACATACTCCTGTTGTGGATGCTGTTTCTAACTCTCTCATACGCCTACAATACAACAATATAGAGATAGTATACACAGACAAACTTCAAGTATTGAAGAATTTGTATGTCGGCCTGTGTCCTAAAACTCCAACTGCTATATTGTAGACGTATACGAGAGTCAGAAGCATGATCCACAATGGGAGAATGTGGGAGTGGCATAATCAGTGTAATTGATGTTATTGTTTAAATTTGTGAAGGATGTTTTATAATGGAAGCAATTGTCGTTAGCGTCGGTTACGGGGTTCTTAAATGTTCAACAATCATCCAACACTACAAGAAAGCTACAGTCTTTTTTACAAACACTAGAATTATTGGATTATTGTATCAAACTAACGTGAAGTGTGGATGACTCGAATGCGAGCTTACCGGTATATTATTTTGCAATCATTTCTTGGAAAATTGAGTAAGAATTTCGACAATTACTAGGTTTGTGTCAAATTTCTCTAAGTTGTGCTATAGCAGGTGTATTATAGAGTTGAAAACATAATATATAATGAAGACTATGGGCGAGGCATCATTAGTGTCATTGATGTTATTGTTTTCATTTCATGTTGAACTTCAATCTGTTGAAGCGGGAAATCAGTGGCGAAGATGCCAAGATCCAAAACGTGTGGTGAGCCGTGTTGATCTCCAAATTAACAAACTAACATCAAATGACACCAATAAGGCCACGCCCACAGTCTATACATATATTATGTTTTCAACTCTATAATAAACTTGTTATAGCATAAAGTTGAGAAATATGACACGGACTTAGTCATCCTCGGAATTCTTACTCAATTTAAAGTGATGTGAATGCAGAACAATATACCGGTAAGCTTACATTCGATTCATCAACACTTCACTTTAATTTGATCCAATAATCCAATATTTTTAGTGGTTTGTGAAAAAGACTGCAGCTTTCTTGCAGTGTTGGAAGATTGTTGAACATCTAAGAACCCCGTAAACGACGCTAACTGCGATTGTCTCCGTTATAGAAAATCCTTCTAGTGATGTAATTTAACTTATTTTAGTTGATATTTTAACTTAAGGTGCCTATGTATCCGTTAAATTGGGAATGAAAGTCCAAGTACTTTTTTGAATTTACTTACAGCTCAAGAAATTCCAAAAATTGACCAAATAATGATCAGAGCAATAACATCAATTACGCCAATAATGCCATGCCCAAAATCTCCCTTGTAGAACCTGCGTTGCACTCTCTCATACGGCTACAATACAGCAATGGAGACTGTGGGCGAGGAATAATTGGAGTAATTGATATTATTGCCTGAATTTCTGAACAATGTTTTCTAAAACAAAAAATATCATATAACTTGATTTTTTTTTCTTTTGGAAAAAAATTGATATTTTAACTTATAAATGTCAATTAAGTTACCTACGTATCCCTTATATTAGGAATCAAAGTCCACGTAGTTCTTTCGATTTACTTATTTGTACACGAGCGGTTGTCTCTAATAATCGTACTCGTCTTCTGTTGTTCCGGTTCTACTCGTCGTACTCGTAAAATCGGATGCGTCGTCATCGTCCTTCGCTTCTTCGTCTACGTACATAGCCGTTTGCATC